ACTCGTGGTGGAGACAGGACAGCGGTATGTTACAGACACATATTAGGTGGAAAATCCCCACCCTAGCCTTGGTTCCATGTTAGACTTTGTTTTGCTGCATAGAGGCAGCATCCCTGAGGCTACTATTAAACATAAATGTCGTTCAACAGCAACCACTCCTTCCTCTGTTCTGAGATGCCAAAGACCAGTGTTGAGACTCAAAGCTTTATTTTACTGGGATTGCTCATGCTACAGTCTCGGGGGTGTATGCTAGGATAATTTACAGTAACCTCAGTGAGCCTGGTTTGACATCTTAAAGCCATCTTTTGACACAGCGTGCTCAGGTGGGTTCAGAAATATTATACGTGTAACATAAAAAAAACCTGCGGTCTCAGTCACTGCCCCCAGTTTCCAATAACTTTTAGAGCAACTTTATTATAGACTGTTATCAAGTTTCAAATTCTGTAACATTCTGTAAATGTAAAAAGTGACAATATTTTCTTTCTGTATTGATTTTCAGTACACTTTTTTCCCCCTATTGATCCATTTCCATCCATTTTCACTTTTAATATGAGGGATCGATAAACCAACAGTCATGACAAAAGAATTCTTGTTTTTATAGTTGATTGACCATTTGGCATTAATTTATCACAAGACTATCTTCCTGTAAATGCACTGGTATATAAAATATATCAAGATGTATTTAAGAACTCCAGCTACAGAAATGCACTGGGAAAGTTAACATTTGTGAAGCCTCTGCAAGATATTTTTAGTATGTTTTTACAAAATTTCTTTTATCCACAAATGCCAAATAGATTCCCACAAAACTTGACAATGTTAAGTTACTCGACTTTTAAAATGCTGCATCCTTTTCAGCATTGGATTTGCCCTGCTAGTGTTTTCTTTCTATTTGAGAATGACTGATAAACTTAATGAGCTTATCTCATGATGAGAAAAATCCATTAAGACAATCATTATAATGCCTGTATGATCAAATAGCACTGACAGCACTTAAAGATTTAGGTATCACATGGTTTTTCTCTTCTCTTTTTACTAAAACAAGCCTGATTAGTCAGTTGAAAGTTTCCTGTTCTGAAAAAGAAACTACTTGTTCTCTTCCACTGCAAGTCCCAAATTTGTTGACTTTTCAGAATGGCATGATGGTTAACTTGAAGAAGGGCTTGCAATTTAACAGTTTCAATAGTTAAAAAAAAACCATGATATGTCACAGGATATCAACTATTTGCATCTGATGAGGAAGTAGTCCTTGCTCTCTCAAATCCTCTCAACTGAGATTTCTTGTAAGTCACTTTCAATATCCAAGAATCAGGAATCAGATACAGAGCTAGAAAGGACTCACCATTAAACATTCAATATTCTCTCTTCACTGTTTTAGAGATGGGATATGGCCAATTGTTAGGGAAGACTGCCGTAAAACTGCTACTCATTATCCTCCCTTGTCATGCTTTCAAATTAAACATCTTTTGGGTAACCTACAATAAAGATTTAAAATCCTTTGAAGGGATCGGTGAGACTAGATACACAAAAAGAATTATTTGTCAAGATGTAAGAAAAGCTCCTCTTGAGGAAAAAAAAAGGTTATCAAACTGAGAGGAAATGGCTATTACTGCTGTAGTGCCTACACTGTCTACAGGAGCTAGAGAAGCAAGGAGAGAACGTGCACTTCCTTTCTTGCACAGCACCGTTTCCTGTAGGAGTAATTTAGTAACACAGATCAATACAGCCAAGAAGAAGGAAAAGAAAGAGAAGCCCTCTTTTCACAGTGACCCTGCAGCTGCATCATATCCACGTTACTTGCCTGAATGCACAAAGCAGTGGAAATAGACTGAAAAAATAGTTGTTTTAATCTATCTTTTAACATCGTGGTGTTGAATAAACACCATGTAAGATCTAAACTGGCCAGTAGAATATGAACAAGTATGCTGTTCCTTCCAACAATCAAAGTTTAGTTTATGGCTATATAACATGGCAATCAATTTCAGGCTTTGGCCAAGTTAAGAAAACCTAAGTTTAAAAAAAAAAATTAAGACTAGAGAGATCAGCTTGAAATAAGCTTTCATTTTAGAAGTAGAGCAGTTTATAATTTTGATCATATTACAAAAAAAAAAAAATATCTAAGCCAAGCTATTTTCTGTTACCTTGGGCAGAATAATACTTTGCTGCAATGTTGAATTTTTCATGGACTCTCACTTTTCAAGCCCTCTCAAGACAAGAAACATTCCGTATACTCCACAACTCTCAAAATCATCTCCATCTCATTCTGCTCAATAAAGGGGCCAATGACAGCAGGAGCAAAGAGTATACATTGTTATTTGATAGAAAAAGCCTAAATTTATTAGACAGCTACATCACTGAGATGTACAGGCTTGACTATATGGAAGGAAAGTCCTGGTGTTGAGCAGCATCCTCCAAAGAATAGCAGAAGCAAGTGCCCAGCACTATTAAGAGCTAGTGAGCTAGTTTGGGGACCTTGTTGAGCTTGCACAGCAAGTAGTACTAAGGATCTTGGTCATCATCTGCAACTCCTTGACACAACTGTAGTAAAAATTATCCTCATAGCATGATGTACTTCCCAACTTCTCAAGAAAAGCTCCTAGGATTTGATGCAGACTAAGATTAGCAAAATCAGTGAAATAGAAATAGTTAGTAAATTAGCATATTCAAATAAGAAAAGTTTTAAGCAGGTTAGGATTGTACCTGAAAGCCTGCTCAAAGATAGTTGCATTCTCTTTAATGAACGAAAAACAGTATTTCACAGAAGTAACAACAACCCAAGAAGTAATATTAGAAGTCCTGAACTGCCATTGCTGAGGCTCTCTAGCAACTCAAAGAAAAGGTTAACTCGGCATCTTATTCAGCAGCCTACCACCAGCAACCTCAGTTTTTCCGACATACCTTTTTTTTCCTACTTCTCCTTTTCATTCCACTAAGAGCAGAAAAATGGAATGGGGCTGGCTCCAACTCTTATTCCCATACTCTACTACTTGTATCACTTAATTGCTTTCAGCTTATGGAGATTCCTGACCTGCATTTTTATGTTTTTCATCCTGACAGCATCCAACAATTTTGGAAACTAAAGTAGAAATTTAATCACTAAATTCTTTAAGAATTGTAGGTGGTTTTCTATGTAGCTAGCAGAATGCAAAAATGCCTGTCCACGAAATATGTGAACACTGAAGAAAAGTATGTAATATAATCAAGGTAACACTCAATTACTTGACTGCTTCAAAAGACCATCCCATACAGTTAATCTGGCCATTGGATACCCCTATTTTGGAATCACGTGCAAGATCACTGCTAACCAGATGAAGCCATCTCTCCCAGTCTTTGCAGCTAGTTACAGTCATCTTCAAATACAACACATGAATTTTCATGTCCTTGTCTGAATCAGTCTATCCCATCTTTTATAGCTTCTAAAGTCTAAGTGCAGTATACAGTGTCCATAAATAACATCCAGCAGAGACATACTGCTGCATTAAAGCTGTTGGACGTTGGCTTGTTGGATTTTATTTCTGCAAGTGATAAAGTTTCATAGGCAGCTCATGTATTCATAGTAGCAGCATCAAGACTGTGAGCAAGCACTTAAAAGTTGTTTTTGAAAGGTATTGTACAAAGTTATACCATTTTATTTTAGTATGTATGTGAGTAATCTCTGTCAAGATACACCCTGAGGAAGTGTGCTCAGTGTTGATTTACACATGCTATAGTGGGTGTCTGGCTATCTGCCCCACAACAGAGGTACTTCCTAAAGACAGCCAGCCTTGTTCTCTTTCACTTCTCAGAAGAATGAAAAATAGCTTACTTGTTTACAGACACAGAAATCAGCAATAAAAAAACAGTTCTCCTTCAGACGCACAAACGAGGCAATCTAGATCAAATGCTGGATTCAAGACCCTTGAAAAGCAAGTCACATACTAAAAATGCCAGGTTACTTGAGTAAGATCCTGCTCAAATACAGAAAACCAGGCTATTTGTGCTTTTTTGTATATCAAGAGTAAAGAACATTCTTGCTATCTTTGACAAAGATGCTTTTTCCTGGAACTGCTATATTTTGTCTGCTAACAATGAAAAGCTGAAGCCTTATGTAAACCAGTCGAAACAATTCATGTTTTCACTTCTGTCTAGTCTTCAACCAGCTTCCCTGACTTCACAAAGCTATACTTCGATCCAGTTATATAATGATACCCTGCAAACACAGGTTTTAAGCTCCATAAATCAAGTCAAACCAAACCACAGCTTAGACAGGAAGGTTTCCAGTGAATATTTTTTATATTGTAGCTTAAGTAAGAAAAGTTATGTGAGAATTTATTTTAAAAATATTTCACTAATAGCAAGCAGAACCCTTTTAGTATTACAAAATTGTAACTTCTTTATCCCCACCTAAGTTTTCAGTAGTTATAGTTTTAATTCCGTAAGAGACTTAAGAGTTAGCATCAACATGCCTTCATTAGTTTTGTAATTGACAGAAGTCACATGGGATGCCCCTACCACACAATACACTAAAAACTCTTTAGCTGCAGGCAGAAAGATACATTCTACACACTGCTTCAACTAAGTCTAGTTGAAGTTGGGCTGTTTGGGGTTTTATTTGCAGAGATGGAAAAAATTAAATTTCAATCAAAAAACCTGAAACTCCTATTCTGAGGCAATTCCATTCTTGAACATCAAGACTTGACAATTTCACTCTTCATATATTGTATCACTTACAAGGCTGATTGTCAGATACCAGTGTTAGATCAAACCGATCTGATTTTCAACTTGTCAGAGCTCACTGTTTTTAGATATGTGAAAGGTAACAGTGTTGCTACATGTTGACACAAAATCACAGATTTTAGGTTCACACCAAAGCTCTGCACAGCCAAGAAACTTTATCTTCACTAGCACAAACAGACACCTTTCTCCATCATGCACACAAACACATCAGAACAGTACAGTAATGGTAGTCTAAGAAAAAGTATCTACACCACAGTTAAGGCAGAAAAGGAGAAAATGCACCAGGATCAGTCGGTATCAAAGCCTTCTATTATTTCAGAGAAAATAAAAATCAGATTGAAGACAGCACACTTCTTATACAGACTAATTCATTAGTACTACTTTTTTGTGTATCAGAACATACCCACACCATTCAGTGCATTCATATGCAATACTAAATCTACCTTTCAGAAAAAGGAAGGCCAAGGATATTCTACTTTGTCATAGACATCACCTTTACTGTTTTTCCAAGCATGACAACTTAAGTAAAAAAAGTCAGAGCACAAAACATTTTGAAGTTTCAGCTACCACCATTTATGTTCTTTTGTGATAGCAGTTTACACATTTTTTTTCTGAAACCCTCCTCCTGAAACTTAAATGGGCTTTTTCAAAACACTTTACAGGACAAAGAGCAAGTTGGGCATAAGTTCAATTCTGCTTCGAATCCCCTTAGTTACAGCTACATCTGGCAAGTTTCACATCTTCAATTTAATCACTCCAAATTAGACATTCTAGTTAATGCCAATTAATTGTTCACTCAAGCCCTACAGGGAAAAAAATATGCTCATGAATAGTTTATAATGCTGTCTTTGGAAACAAATGTATTGGAGCAGCTAAAGAGTTTCCCATGCATCTGGTTTACTGGCTCCCAGATAGATGAGGGCCAAAGTTGCTTTGACTTTCTGGGGATCTTCTGAGAGAACAAAGTAACTGCAGAGGCAAGGTATGTGCATGCACCAGCTGTTTTAGCTGCAAGTCAAACAACCTCAATGTTAAACAGCAGTTTACAGAAGCATTCTCTTCCAGTAAGGGGATACTCTAAATACTGCTGCTTGCCAGAAATGGATTAAAGAATTGCTGTAGCTATGGATGTACCCAAAACGAAGTTGTTTTCAGGTAGGGGAATAAAATGAGCAATTTAACAGTGCACATGAAAAGCTTGCATCTTTCACTGACTTATTCACTTCACAATCACAGACAAGACTGATGTACATATTTCTGCACCTGCAACTGTAAAAGCAGATAAAATATTTAATATGTAATTTACAATGTATTTTATCAGCTTGGCATACAGATGAACAGAATATATCAAAGTAGTTGAGTTATAGGCTTGTGGAGGCCCTGCAAAAATATTAATTCAGATATCTGCTAATTTAAAAAAAATCAATTTGCATTTTAGAAGTGATACAATTCCATCTACCACAAAGTACAAAGAGCTGCAAAAACGTATACCATTCCAACAACAATGTATATAAGTTATTAAATAATGATCTGATTTAAAAGAATATAAATGAAGCCTTTAAGTAGGTCTTTTCTACATGCATATTATTCCTTATTAAAGAAAAATATGTAAAAAGGCCATTGGTAATTGCTTTGTTAACCACTGTAGAAAACGCCAATTCTCTGGTCACTGACGCCACTAGTTTAGCACTTAAGGTCTCTGCAGTGTTACATGTGATTATTTTTAAATACTGTTAATTCTATTACTCCATTGGTAAAGAATGTGTGACTTGGAATATGGCAGTCTTCATATTGAGAGGGCAGTGATGCACAGTTTTATAATTATCCAGAAGAACAGCACCCTCCACTGCTCTGTACTTGTGGCTCATCATCAATGATCTGTACACCTCGCCTTGCTATTCCTGACTGACTGGAGCCATTGCCTCTTGCTCTTTCATCCACTTGAGCAGTTTCTATCATTCCTGTAAAGAAAGAAGTGTATTAGACGACATTCCATTGTATTTTTACATTAAGATTCTGCTATTTTAATCTACCTGAACTATATGCACAGAGAGAAAAGTTCAGTAAGAGTGGTTCTCCTATTTGTTATGCAGAACTAAGTACTCAGGTATCACATGGCATAGCTGCAAAACATATTAAATCTTTTTTCTAAAGCACACAATATATAAGAGCTCCTGGTAACTAAGGGACACTGTAGTGATCCTCAGGTGTCCTAGCGTTAGCAACTTCAAAAGCTAGATTTACACACCCGTATCAGTAACACCGTTAAAAAAATCCAACCAAACAAGAAACCCTGCCCTCCCAAAATATCCCCCCCAAAAACCCCAAGCTACTACCTCTTCAGAAATGCATGAGACCTTTTCCTTAAATTCTCTTATCACATAAATACAACTACAAGGATGATTTGCTTGTGTTGGATTTTCATCCCACATTCCATGATCTTGACTATTTAAGATTTTTGTGTAAAATTTGCATCATTAGAGCTGTGAGTTTATGATTTGTAATTTGAGAAGATTTTTGAAATGGTATGAAACAGCAGACTAGAAGCAAGCAGTGGTGAGACCAGTAACATGAAGTTTGATTTGGGTTACTGCTTATGTGTGCTAAGTGGAACAGCAGTCAGTGCTCCAACAAAAGACCAAGACATTTTTGGAGTAGAGCATGAATTTGCAATATTGTAAGCATCCATACATCAAGTTTCCAGAGCCGTAACAGAACTCAGGTGGCCTGAAGTAGACTGAAATTGAGTCAGTCCTAAGTAGTACTTTACTTTCAAACTTTTCTATATGGCTTGAAAAGCATTTCTGAACCCTGAAGCATTTTATTAATGAGCTCCTTACCAACAAATTACATAATACTTACTTTTGCAAAGGTCAAGAAACAGTTCTTCAATTCCTTTGTTCTGTTTAGCTGACGTATGATAATGTTTTGCTCCAACAGATTCAGCGTACCTGTAGAAAGGCAGATGTGAAGCTGCATTGTAATAAAGGCCTCAATCTTTCTAAGCCACTTTACAGGAAGGAATAAGATGATCACAAGAGGTTTTATTCTGATTTCAGAGTTCATCTACACATGCTTATTTCATACAAAAAACGGAGTTATGTGTTTAAAACTGCCAGGACTGACGCAACACACTAGATGAAATTAAGAAAATTCCATGTCTAGAAAGGGATTTAAACTGTAAACGTTGACTTTAATCACAAACAACTGTCAAGCTACAGTTTGGTCAGCCAGGACACCCTGTGACTCAGATAATAACAGAACACTCAACAACTGGCATAAGCCAGCAGTGCCTAGCTGGCTGCTGTGTTAACATCATCACGAGTTTATTACTCCAGCATAATTCTGCAATTACTGTTTCTATTAGTAATAGGTGTGACTTACATTTCTGCTTCTTGCACTGAAACATGTCTCTCTTTTTCCAAGTCTATTTTGTTACCTGTTGAAAACAAGTTAATCTTTTAAGTCTTTGTACTGTAAAATTACCCAAAAAGAAAGCAGACATGTAATCATGGTACTCCATTTTCTGAAGCTCTCCCAGTAAATTCCAGCTCTTACACAGGTCTCACTTTCAAGAACACTATGATTTGAGAATCTCCTTTCACACAAGCATTTACAGGCTATAAGGTGCTACTTCGGTAGCGAGATCAGGACAGCTAAATGCCTCCACCCAATTCGGCCTTTTGCCCTTTTTTGTGATTTATTAGCACATTCCATTTGCTGCAGAAGTAATTTTTGTAGAATGTCCACATATCTAACCTCATGGAAGTGTTTTAATAATCAGATCTTATTTAAATCTAAACCCAGGGCTTCTATTGTATTCCATTTGCATTGAAATTTCTAATCTTTAAGATTCACTCCAACCTGCAAGCACTTAATTATCAAAACAGACAAGCACCTAGTCTATGCCACTGAGAAAAGCCATGAGTTTGAGTACTTCAAAGAAGGATAATATAATTTTTTTGTTAAACTACAGTCTGCACGAGTCTGTACCATGCACTTCTAATAGTATATAATTAAACAGCTTATGTTTTCAATCAAAGGCTTATTTTCCTCAATGTGATCTAGTGAAACTTCCAGCCCCAGTTTAATTTTAAATATCTAACATAAGCTTTACCCCTTCACATGTACAAGTTGTTAAAGCAGCATCTGAAGATGCTATTAATCAAGAGGTGTTTCCAATTCATTCATGTTGAAAAAGACTTACCTACTATACATAAACAGATTTCATTTCCCAACATTTTTCTTAATTCCTTAACCCAGTTTTTTACCTGCAAAAAGAAGAGAGATGAGTTTGTTTTCATTTGATATGCATTTTATATATATATATCTTAGGCAGTGTGGAACTATCCCCTTTCCTTCATTAACCATCTTCTCTAAATTTAAAGCAAAAATGTTTAGAGCAACATAGATGAAAAAAATATTCTTTAGATTGCTACACATGGCCCTTGTTCAGCAGGTTTTATTTCACAGGTGAGAGCAAATGACTCAGAGGAAACAGTTCAATTGCTCCAGAAATATAACTCACCACACTCAATATAGCAAGTTCACTGCATGGGCCACTTCAAGTCAGACATGAGATTTTTCATCAACAGGCACTTACTGACAGACCACAAATGGTACTTTAGAGGTAGACCCGAACCAAGCTTTTCAGGTTAGATTATAACTATAACAGATGATTATTTCATGAGAGAACAGATGGGACAAGCATGTCGAATCAGCTGATGGTAGGGTATCTGTTAACAAATCTGTTGTCATGAAAAGTTTGAAAGTTGTATGATCACTGCATTGACTTAGGAACTGCTATTTTGAGGGAATAATTATGAAGAGAGGCAATCACTTCAAGAACCTAAAATTAAGGCTACATGATCCAGCAGTACTTCTGCAGTAACTTCTGTAAATCACCTTTCCCTCTTTTTTTCTGCACATTTAAACATTTTGGTATCAGAGGGTTTTACTATGTAGGACTCAGCATGAAAAGAAACAAGTTGAAGTAGTGTCCACAAGTCATCACCATTCTGCAGGTGGCCACAAGGGTTTAACTGCTAGCACAAGTGCTTTAGTTGCTCTACACCACACTATTTAAATTAGTTAAACTGTTGTGGATCTGTACCCTTCGACTATTTGTATTGCTGCTAACCCAAGCCTTGCCCATGCAACCACACTTTCTCACTTCTCTCTACACAGAAGTCCAACTGGTTTTGCTGAAAGGCAGAGACAAATTTGCTTTAAAAAGTGTCACCAGTTTTCAGCTGAAAAATCTTACAGAGTGGTAGCACAGGTTGACACAGGGTGGAAAAAAACCAATCAAACTGATAAACTAACAGAGCCATAAAATAACTAGCCATCAAATTACATATTTTGATGAGGATTTGACAACAAATAACTTATCACAGAGAAGGAAATGTCTCCACTATCATGTACTGCAATTTCAGAGTTCTCAGATCTGCAAAAGGTCACGTCACTTAGCATCTTTTAGTAATTTGGTTTACACAGTAAAGATCAGTATGGCATACCATGACAACAGTCCAGGTTTATGTTTACAGCCTATCACAGGTAACTTGCACAGCTACATCACAGATTATTTTGAGTTGCAGGGGACCCACGAGGATCATGAAGTGCAATTCTTAAATGAAAGGCCCATACAGGGATCAAACACGCAGCTTTGGCATTATTTGCACTGCGCTCTAAGAAACTGAGGGAATTCTTTGGTATTCTTTGAATAACCTGATAGCAGGGAAGTCAGTCTTCAAAAGAATACTAATTAGCTGTATACTTCCTTTACATGATCTACATTTGCAAATATAAGCTATATTGCTGAAAACAGAAAACTTCTGTTTACACATATCACAGATTATCTTTCAACCAGTTTACAGTTTAGATGCAAAAGCTGCCCAGTACCTTTTGAAAAGAGTCTTCATCTGTTATATCATATACTAGAATAGCGCCATTAGAGTCCCTGTAGTAGATAGGCCCCAATGCATGAAATCTTTCTTGACCAGCTGTATCCTGCATTTAAAATACACTTGTTAGCATTTAAGACAAAGCAAGCAATACTTCAAGGAACCCCAAATACTTTATTAAGAAGTGCCTAGCACTTGGAATATAGTAAGCCCAAGTAACTTTTTTTTTTAAGAAAAACATTCTAATTAGCTAAGGAGAAAAAAGCACAGAAACATACCCATATTGCAAGGTTTACTCTTTTTCCACCAATATTTAGTTTCTTCGTAAGAAAAGATGCCTGGAAAGCAAAACAAATTAGAGTTAAGTTTTACACACCAAACACATAATGCCACTTGAAATTAATTAATAAAGCATCAGAATCAATAAAAGACAAATTTCCAGACTGAGACTCTGTAAGCAAGAAGGCTAAGTCAATACTAAACCAGTTAGTAATTTCACTATAGTTTGCCATCTGTCTATTCTAAATAAATTTGAATTAAGCCAATCATTTACTACATCTTTTTGCAGTTGTTTTGAATGGTTTGGGAAGGACGAACTGTGTAGAAAGACTCTGAATTCACAACACTGATAAGCCTAAGCTGAACACAAAGCATTTCACAAGACTATGCAAAGTTCGGGTAGGAACAAGCCTAACAGGATTTTTAATCTGTAGGAATTAGGCAAAGTAGTTCACTATTACTAAGATACTAGAACCATAAACAATTGTTTTATTTTATCACTAAATATCTTGGAACATTAGTATTTCACAAGTTTCCTTGTCTGTAACTTTTCCCTTTTTTGCTGAAGTGAGCCTACTACTCACCCTCATCTGTTTTTTGGTTCTGTGTTTTTGTTTGTGTGAGCTGAGAAGCCTCAGAATAAGCATAAAAGCTGCTTTAGAATTCTGCTACTTTAACTTCTGGAAGTATTTTACAGGACCAGAGCACATTTCAAGGTTAATCTAATTTCAGTAACTTGAGTACATCTATTTTCCTCCAAACTTGCATGATTCACATTTTCAGACACCACCTCTGTTACCAGGTCTGTAATTTGACAGCTAAAAAGGGAATATAATTTAACACAAGTTTAATGGACCAGAACACGGTCTCAAGGTGTTGATGCATTAGGAACCTGCTCTCCCCATTCTAAAGATTAGCAGTCACATGTCATATCATGCAATTCAGTTACCAAGGGCTAACTTCTTTTTTCTGCCTTAAATTACAGGGAGTTTTCATTTCAGTTTTACCTCAGTTTGCATTTGGGTTCAAACAAGTACTCAGTGGTATTTTATGATACATTCATCACAGATTATTTTAGGCTGGATTGCAGCAGCTCAAGAGGAGTTCTCTGCACAAGCACTGACCAGCCACAGAACCAAGAGCCACATGTGTGGAAAATGTCATGGGCCAGACAAGCTGCTTGAACCAGCTTGCTGCTTAACTACACAAGCAACCAGAATGCACACAGGAGACCACAGCAGTTCAATGCACACCAGCCTAAACTGCTGTCAAAGTGCCTTTCTGGAGTGCTGCCTATGTTGCAGTTAAAGTCATTCAACATTCAGTTGCTAGAGCAGCTCCTGCTCTTCAGCTACTTCCCCGGCATCTGTATGACCCAAGATGAGATGATAACAAAAACCTTTTTCATCTTGAAGTTGTGCCTTCGCCCAAACCTTCCCACAAAGTCTGATAAAAAGAACAGAGAGAGAGAGAACAGACCAGAAGAAAAACAAACACTTTCCAAGAACAGACAGCAAAGAACTGACCACTACAACCCTTGTGTTCTACATAACTAAAGCATTAACGATACACTACCCTCTCAGTCTACAGTGAGAGGACTAACTGTAGTGTCAAAAGTCTGGAAAAACTTCCAGACAGCATTTGACCCTCTAACCAACCAGTAACCATCAATAAAAGATTTTTACATCCACAGTGGCAAACATGCCAAAGACAAATCAACTAATATCTTCTCACCTTTCAACTCACATGTACCCCTCCCAAGCTATTCTGAGGTTAGTGAGGGAGAAAAAAAAAACAACCAACCAAGTGAATAGCAAGCTATTCAGGTTTTAGAAAATTGGGAAAACCTAACACACAAGCAAGAGCCTCAACTTCTGTTTTGAGATAGTTTAGTGAAAAAGCCAGTTACCAAGATTCTGAAGTCTGTCAGACTTCAAAATCAAAGCCTTTGACTACTTACAGGGCGTTAGGTAATCACACGTAGAAAAATCTTCAACATTTTCTCTAATCTCAAAAAAAATTACTGAACTGAGTACTAGAAGTCTGAGTTGTGACTTGATTTACAGTCAGTAGCTATTCTCCATACCATTTTAATTACTGTGACAGTTCATTTTTGCTAGGACTTTCAAAAACTCACAGGAACATGGTTAATTCAAATATAAGTAATTTCAAATAACTCTTTGAAGCTTCTAATTTTCATATTTTGACTCTACTGTCTTATGACTGGTTTGAAAAATACTTAGGCACTTAGAAAAGAATAATGCAATTATAAGAGCTAAAGTTCCAATCTTTTGATGTGGCTGTAGGAAATATTTTCTTTCTTTTAATTCTTTCTTTTATGAGCTCAGTTTTGTATGCCCACCAGGCCCTGCTAGGAGCTGATAAAGGGGCTTGAGCAGAACACAAGGAAGACACAGCTGGAAGAGTCTCCCAAAAGTCACTGAACAAAAGCAGGTGTGTGGCACCTGCCCTTGAGTGCTGCGTGTTCAACAGAAGCAGGTCAGGCATACAAACACTGCATAAAGCACTGAACTTCCTTACATTGTCTTTCACTCACCCCCAACTATCTTGATAACTAAGACAGCTTTTCCAGGTTATGCCAAGTCCATCAAAGCAACCAGGAACTCTACGATTACAACCACATCAGCAGCTCTCTTGGGTTGGATATTCTGCAATCCTCCACACATTTGTGAGAGCAGTATTCAGTGTATTTATCCTGAATAATTAAATAATAAAAAGTATCTACCCACTTAAACTCAATAGTTAGACAGTAGGTTTATTATTAGAGTAATTCCAGCACAGTTCACTTGATATCAATTTATATCTTATAATTATTGTATGAAGATGAGGGCACTTGCTTCAGTATTTCAAACAATGGGAACCAATTCTAACTGCCCTGCCAGGTCTGCCTACAGGTTATGAATTACATTAATTGTGTGCAAAAACCCCTACTTCTCCTGCATCAGCTTTTCCACAACGTTCTAACTAGATGCTTTCTTCTGTGAATCAGTAGCTACTTTCACTTCAACATGCAGGTCATCAACATCTTAAGTACACGACTTGATACTAACAAACTACAGCAACACATCCCAGCAGCCCCCTAAGTCAGAGGTTCCAGTGCACTCCGGTTGGCATTGAGAGAGGGGAGTGGGGAGGGAGGAGAAACTGCTCCCTTTTAGTCAGTCTTTTGTTACTAGCACCAAAGAAACTTACCTATTTCAGTATAAAAAGAATTACTTCACAGTAGAAGAACATCACTAGAAGTTTCCAGAAGGTTACAGTCTCACCACCCTCTTTGTTGCAAACATATTGGAGCAGAGCACTATGCAATGCTTTATTTTTTAAGTTGGAGAGTATTGTGGATGGAGAGCCTCTTGTCCCAATATCTAGTGATCTCTTCATATGATTCATCACTGTCACTCCTTTGCTGGACCAGGAGCAAAGTATTTATCTAATTTTGGCTTTATTGGAACAAAAGGAATTTGGTGCATTACTTTGAACTGTTGCCATGAAACAAAGCAACCTGATCAGATTAAGCCTTTTATCTTTAAAAAAACTAGATGCTTTCTTCTGTGAATCAGTAGCTACTTTCACTTCAACATGCAGGTCATCAACATCTTAAGTACACGACTTGATACTAACACAAACTACAGCAACACATCCCAGCAGCCCCCTCAGTCAGAGGTTCCAGTGCACTCCGGTTGGCATTGAGAGAGGGGAGTGGGGAGGGAGGAGAAACTGCTCCCTTTTAGTCAGTCTTTTGTTACTAGCACCAAAGAAACTTACCTATTTCAGTATAAAAAGAATTACTTCACAGTAGAATAAGAACATCACTAGAAGTTTCCAGAAGGTTACAGTCTCACCACCCTCTTTGTTGCAAACATACTGGAGCAGAGCACTATGCAATGCTTTATTTTTTAAGTTGGAGAGTATTGTGGATGGAGAGCCTCTTGTCCCAATATCTAGTGATCTCTTCATATGATTCATCACTGTCACTCCTTTGCTGGACCAGGAGCAAAGTATTTATCTAATTTTGGCTTTATTGGAACAAAAGGAATTTGGTGCATTACTTTGAACTGTTGCCATGAAACAAAGCAACCTGATCAGATTAAGCCTTTTATCTTTAAAAAAAAAAAACCCAACAAAGGGTGCTCTGCAAACATGTTACTTCATTGCTTAATCAGATACCCTAGTTTCTCTTCTCATCTAATTTTCAAACTATCTTTCAATTTAATAGTGGAAGAATTCACTTCAATTTTTTTTCTAGAATGGTAAGATGTAAGGAAATAAAAAGAATAAAGATAATACTTAGTGCACAGGATGCACAGTATGATTCAACAGCAACTGACATTGTATTTTACATATGCCTCAGTAAGATGCATATATGGCCAAAGAGGCCTCAGAACAGAAAAGCAAACAACTTGATAAGCAATTAGCAGTCAGTTAAAAGACACAGGTAGAAACCACAGACCTGGTTACGGTGGTGAAACGAAAGCTCAGTAGGAACTGCAAGCACCTGATTCCACTCCTCAACACAACCCTCTCCAGACAGTCAAAACCAAAAGCTCTGGAGCCACATTATCTACAGACATTTCCTATCAGCATTTTGGAGCAATTTAAAAGTGTTTCATGGTATTTATGACCCAAGTCTGCATTCCAACTCAGTTTTTGCTCATAATTTTAGGTTTTCCATTACAGATTTAAAGAACAAAAAAACCCAAACAACAAACATAAGCCTCACCACATAACAATCCCCTTGGACCTACTCTTAAAACATGTGATCTGAGAATTCAGCTACATGTGACCATTTTGATGCACTTCAATGATTGTTTGCTCACTGCTACACTTCTGCTGCACCTCGGACACCTACAAGCCACCAGGCATCTCTGTGGCATATCAAGCAGCAATTACCTCTGTGGCATGACAGATACAACCAGCATCCTATAAATACCTTGCCTAGTAAACCCACCAATAGCTTAACCCAAAAGCTGAGTATGAAGACAGGATAACAAAGTCTAAAACATATTCTTTTTACCTCTTCACAGCAAAAATGGAGCATTACCTGTTTAATAAACATTTTCTGTACTGCTTCTAGTATATCTATAATGCTTTCATTTTAAGGAAAAGTTTCACTATTACTTACTTCTGAGATACACAATTCAAGAAGCTTCCCCTAAATGCATGGGAATGGCACATACCTTAAAACTCTTCTCTTTTTAACACCACCTACTATTTCTCCTGTACTTCAGGAAATTCGAAATTAGTTCAAAACCCACTACTGGTCCACTAAGCGGCATGATTTTTTTCTTTATTTGAAAAAAGAAATATTAAGAGTGGAATACACTGAATCCACACTTCTGCCTATGCAAGATGACAACCTGAAAGACTTAACATACCACTCACAAAACGAACTTCAAAACGTGCTTTCTGAGACCATGGAGAGTACAGGCAGTTTATTTTGTACCACGGCATACACGTCATCCATCACTATCTAGTAGGCCATGAAAAAACCCATTACTTTCAGGCAGGCACCCTGTCACATTTCATGTGTGGAACATCACTTTGTAGCTCTTTATAACAACAGATAGTACTACTGAGAATCCAGCCAAAATTCAGGGAGCTGTCGTGACAAGCAGTTTAGCTTTAAGAATCTTTGCCATTATTAAATCATGAGCCCTAATCTCCTAAACCATTTTGTGAAAGCTGTTCTCCTTAAACAGAAACGCTTAGATAGTGCTAACGTTAGGATTTGAGAACATGAGGAAGCCTATGATTAACAAAAACGCAGCACGTATGAAACACTTAGTCATCAGTCCCCTAACAATGATTACAATAACAACAGTACTTTTGCATCATACTTTCCAAGATTCAAATGAAGACATTCATATACGTAATTGAACAAAAAATTGGAGCAGTTAGTATGCAGAGTAGACACGAGGCCTAAGCATACTGAAAGCTTAAATCTGAGGCGTGAAAATAAAGAGAAAACTGGCTTCCAGCAAACTCGGCAGGAAACAGCCACCATTAGCGAGCGGCGACGGTGGCTCGGGCAGCCGCTAAGGCTGCGGACACGACACAGCCAGCAGTGCCAGGGGTGCGCAACGCGAGGGCACAACAGCGGCGGGGACCCCACACCCCCCGGCCCGGCCCGGCCCGCACCTGCAGGGTGGTGATGTGCTTATCGTTGAACTTGTTCTCGCAGTAGCGCAGCACCAGCGAGGTCTTCCCCACGCAGCCCTCCCCGAGCAGCACCACCTTGAAGGAGAAGCTGCGGCCCCCGGCCGCCGCGCCGGCCCCCGCCGCCATCCGCGCCCCGCCGCCGAGCCGCGCCTCACATCAACGGGCCGCACCGCGGCGCCGCCGCCGCCCACCGGGACGAGGGCCCACGGGGGAGAGAGGCCAGGAGGATGGGGAGGCACCGGCGAGGCCACGGAGACAGAAGCCGGAGAAGAACCCGGCAACCGAACCTGCCCGGCGGCGGCGGCCCCGCTGCCCCTAATGGCGGCTTCTTCCTCCTACGTCACGCACCGCCCGGTCACGCGCAGCCCCCGCCGCCAATGGGAGGGGGGGACGCGGCGGCGCCGCGAGGCCCCGCCCCCAGGCCCGCCCAGCACAGCGGAGGGGGCGGGGCCTGATCAGGGGGCGGGGCCCAGGGCCGGGGTCCCGCGCGCGCCCTACGCCGGTAAGGAATCGTCCCGGAATCCCGCGCTGGGCTTTCCTGCTGCCCCGGTAAGGAATCGTCCCGGAATCCCGCGCTGGGCTTTCCTGCTGCACCCGCCGGGCGTCCACGGGGAAACCGAAAGCCCCTAATAAACGCCGGCACGGGTTTTGTGTCATTTTCGTTCCTGTGAACTAAGCTACACTAGTCTCTAAATGTTTGCAAAATAAAAATCCGTGATAAAGTACTTTAAAACAGGGATGTGGGAGCAGGTGAGGCAAAAGGCACGAGAAAAACGTTCTGGGGTCGAGTTCCTTGCTTGCAGGAGTCCAGCAGAGTTTCATACACAGGAATTGGATAACTGCCTTGTAAAACTGGGTGTCATTCCTCAACTAAAAGCAATCCTCACAAACCGATCCAAATGACTGCAGCACAACCTCTCTCTAGTGATGACTTAGTGGCAAGAAAAATAATGGCTATGAAGAGGCTTCATAGTGCAATTTCTTTTTTTCTCTGTCAGATAACATAATGCTCTGATGTATGAGAAGGAAAAGAGGAAAGAACAGAGAATGCATCCAGGAGAACAAGGACTGGATTTCCTGGAGTAAGAAGCCTTGTCACTGAATAGCATTACATTCACACAGAATGGATTGTTTTTATTTCCTCCAGAGGTGAGGAAAGGAAACTCCTGCCATGGTGCAGGGTCAAACGATGCTTCCCACTGGCAGCAGACTACTGCAAGTAACTACAGTATTCCATCCTTTCTGTTCTCCTCTCTGTGATTACTGATTTTGTTCTATGAGAAATCCTGTACTTTCAAAACTTCAGTCACCTGTATTAAATAAAACTAAAAGGCTGGTCTGGCTGAGAACAGAAATTCTGTCAGAGCTACCTGAAGTGTCACATTTCACTGTAATCTCATACAGGACTTTGTAAGATCTGTAGGTTTAACTGTCTGTGACTGTTACCAAGTTATTTTAATAGTGTTCATTTAATTTGGGAAGTGTTTATTTTGTTTCAGAGAATTTGAGAAGAGAATGGCTCTTTGACCTTCAATTTATTTTGCTTCTCCTTTTTACACAGCTTCCTAAAACACTTGTAGCAGGCCTCCTGTGTTATCTGTGTTGCTGAACACATCTGCATGAGAAATGCCTTTCAAGATGTATTTTACATTTCATGAAGATACTACAATACTCTGTATGTTATTGAACCAAAACCAATTGTACTACTATATCCATTGCCATGACCTTTGAAAGTTTCTTGTAAGACTACTCAAGTGTTTTATTTCACAGGTGGTGTCATCTCTAAAAGTGAAAATAATGTTATTCTTTCAGCTTGCATTATTAGATCTCCTTACAAAAATATTAAATGTGTTAATTCCGATGTGAACTTAAGTGTATGCAGTAGCTGTCAGTGGAGATACTTAAGTTGGTCAAACCTATAGCAGCATAAACAGCCCCTCCCAAGCTCCCAACACACAACTCATTTCTGGGACCATTATGTATTGAATATTATAAAGGTAGGAGTTGATTTGCAGATAATGTCAGTCTTTTTTCCCATTTTTTCCTTTGGAGAATATTTCTGAGCATAATTTGATATACTTGCAGAAAAATGTTCTGAATTTATTTGATTTCCTTGGAAAAGAATCATATTGCAAAATCTCAGCCAAATAATGTACGGTTGTATAAGAGCAATGTCCATAAGAGTACAAGATGTCCAAAAAAGCAAGAAATCAGAAAGGGGAAAAAACCCCAACCCAATAACAACAACAAAAACCCACTTAAAATGAACTTAATTATATTGTCAAAAAGAAAGATTCAGATTCAGAAGACAAAGAATAAAGGTGAAAGCAAAGCATGTGGAAAAGGAAAGGAAAAAGAAAATAATTTGTAAAGAATCTTGACCTGGAGGAATTCTTCTGATTGTGTTTTTCTCACTCACTCACTGCTGAGAGACTCCATGTACCCACAGGGATGTACTTGACAGGTTCAATAATGTCCTTGGAGACTGTGCAGCATGAAATTTTTTTCTGATTTATAGAAATAAGTACAACGTAGAATATGATTTCTACCTAAGAAACAATACCAGCAAAGGGCAATGTTTTTTTGGGTTTTTTTTTTGGTAAAGAAAAAGAGTCCTATTTTCTAAAAGTTCAGTTCTCCGTCTTGAAGCGGAATTGTCTGCAAATGTCATTTCCCCCCAGGATAAGTAGTTCTGAATTCTTTGCCACTTTGTATTATGGTTTTCCTACACCCACAGCAATGCTGAATACCATCCCCATGCAATCGAGGCAGATCCCCTTCCTGAGAAGCAGCATCCTGGACGTATGCTGAGAACAGCAAGCATGCTGCTCTGCCATTAATTGACCCCTTGCTATTGGTGTTTCTACTTTCAGGAGCAAAGGCAATGTTCCATCTCCTAATGAGAGGCCCTAACCTTCTAAGAGAGGGTAAACCAATGGCTTATAAAGGTAATATATGATTATATTACAAAAGACAAAACCTCCCTTCTGCAGGAGTCTCTTTAATAGATGTATGCTATAACAGTATTCAGAATGAAAACATTAAAAAAAAAGCCAAAAAAAAAGAAAAAGACACAGAAATGATAATTTTAAACACATATTAGCAGACCAGGGAAATTCCAGAGGAAGGCAGAACTGGTTAAAATTTAAAAAGTAAAAATGGGACCCATAGACTACCTAGAATAATTCCAGTCATTGGCAAACCTTGTTTAAACAGTCATGCCAGTGTTTTCAAACACAGAAGCAGGCAGGTTCAAGAACAAACCCACAGGGCTGTATTCACTTCGTGGGATATATAAAGAACGGAACTTTGCACCAGAATAACTTGCTGCTGTGTGGTACAGCAGGAGATGGGGACATCAGGCTTCCTCAGACTGCTCAGGGTGGGAGAGAAGTGCAAACGAGATCTTGCAGTGTGCTGACTGTGGGCCACAGCAGTAATAATAAAAGGAAAGTTTTCACTTAGTGGCTGATAAGCCAGCAGATTTTCCAAGAGCTTCTATAAAGTAATGGAAACACAGAAAGGAAGCGTGGGTGCCAAAAGGGTTCCTCAGGGACATCCTAAAACCTACTAGTTTCAGTGTTACTGAGCTTCAGCTAAGCAGTGAGGAGAGGATAGAAATGAGCTGCTGTGAGCAAAACGGGCCTGTTTGGAATCATGGAAGGCTTACTTAATCACCTATACATCTTCATCCAAATCCTCATCTGTGTAACAGCAACAGCCTGTCCACAGACCTGCTCTTTGGCAATGGTAATTGCCTGTTGCATGCAGGCTTGCACAGCCTTCTGCACACACAAAAGCCCTGGTACACCCATCTTCACCGTGGCAGTCACACCTTCAGCTGGGGGGAGGAGCAGATGATGACACAAAGAAAAGTAATGACGCAAAAGAAAGACTGATAATTAAATGAAGCATTCAAATGTTATGTGTGCCAGTCAACAAAATCTAATGGAAAAATAGGTCTTATCAGAGAAACCTAAGATGACATTACAGTCTTTGGCTGTTCAAAGGTAAGGCCATAGCTGTACTAATTTTTTCAGGAGCTTGACTTAGTACCCACATGCTAACAATGGGAAAAAATTATTTTTTGATGCAATGAAAGACAAATTCATTGCATCAAGAACTGGATGAGCGGTTCAGAGTAGTTATTGGTGAGAGATGTCTTTGAAAACTGATGTTTCCTTTAGGGCTTTTGGGTTTCCTAAATGGCCTGTAAAGTACTTATAAAATCAATGCTAATCAAACTTGAAATGATATGGCACTGTCAGTGTGATAAACAGTGACAAGAATGGGGCATCCAGCAAAAACTTTATATAAACAGCTGTCATCTGAAAATGAAAAGTGGAAATATTATAAGGAATACAAAAGTGCTACCTCATAGGCAATGTAACAAATTAGATATTCAAAACCTAGCAGGTATCTAAGTATATGACTGCAGCAAAAGGGCAGAGGTAATTCCTGGACATGAAATAAAGAAGTAATGAAGATGTTTTTAATCTCAGTGCATGGCACTGATAAAACTTGTACTGGAATTTGGCACACAGTTTAAAAATAGGGCAGAGAAAAGGAAAGGGCTCACTTTGGTCAGCTCATCAGTGCTGTAGCAGGAGCAGGCACAAGGAAAGAACTAATAGCAGGAATCTAAAGCCAGACATTCAGATTCAAAATGAAACACAAGTTTTTAATGACCATTACCAAGTGAATAAAATAATTCCTTATTTTCTGACGGCTTTGCTTGAGGAGTGTTGGGTAGCCTGGTGACATGAGTTTGGCCAGATGCAGATTGCATTTCAGGCAGTCCCCAGGCCTAGTTCACAGGAGATTGACTATCTCTACCAGCTCTCACATCTAATAATAATTTTAAACTATTTTATTTTTTCAATATTGTATTCATCATATTCACTAAAAAAAGACAGTCAGAATTATTAATGGCCCAAATGAGAACCACATCTCACTAAAATGTAGGGCCTTCAACTAAGACTTCTAAAATTTAGAGGAAAACTTGTATTCTAAACATATACTTCATGGGAATTAATGGAGAAATCCCAAGACAACACTGTATGGTTTAAATTGAAGCAAGTTAAAGTAGCCTTTAAAACAAGGAAAAAGACTTAAGAAACCATTTTTTAACATTATCATTCAACTCCTACCATTGATATAAAATATATTGCTGCACTCTTAAAATGCATTTGCAGACACTTTCCTTTGTGAAGGGTTCCTTGAAGTGTTTTGCTCAGCAGACACTGGTGATGAGCAGGTAAACAAACCAGCAATAACAATTACGTTGTCAATTTTCACCCTTTCTCAGTCCTGCATTTTAAAATATTGTCTAAAGGACAAGTGACTGGACACCAGGATGGTCATGTAAACTCTTAAAGCAAGTGCTTTCCTTTCTGTGACTGAACAAATGGAATTGAATCAGCTAGCCTATTCCTTTATTCATAACTTCTTCCCTTAGAAATTTCTAATTAAAGCCAGTGCTTCTTTTAATTACACCAAGTAACCCAGTTTCAAGAAAGTCACATAGACAAAATGCAAAGAAGACTTTATCAAGGTCAAGTGCATATTACTTTCAGCAGAATGTTTCCCCTAAAACCAACATCTTCTTCCTGCTTTGACCAATGAAATACTTTCTGTTAAAATGTTTGTATTTTGTTGTTATAAGTGGAGAGCTGTAGTGATAGAAATATTGGTCACACTTTCTGTATAGAAAAATGCTTAAGTATGTATGACTCCTGCCCCCATGCCTGAAGCAGGTGATGCCCCAGGGCATTGTGAGGGGCTGGGGCGTTACATGTGTTTTTTCAGTTCTGCAGGAAAAAAGAAATCTTCTGTGCTGTCAAGAGATTCTGAACATGAATGGTCCCATGAGGTCACACACTGCCTAATTAGATTATGATTACATTTTTGAGAACCATGTTGTAACAAGCAGCAGCAGTGATGTTTCTGGCCAAAGGTCTTGTGATTGAGAGCACTACACCAAGTTGCATTGTACCCTGAATGGGCTGTCTGCCAGCACGAGGTTACTTTCCTGCTTTTCAGCTTTCCTGCCTGAAAAAATTGGGAAGAAACCTGTTCTAGGTACTCTTGGGTAGAGTAATAAAATCATCCTGGTGTGCATTTGTCTCTGTTGTCTTGATATGGCCTCACACAGGACTGATGCTGTGATTCTGGGGAAGACACTGAGCTGATTTTTTTAGAACTGCCGTCTAACCTTAAGGTAAATTCTGCATTAAACCCTCGTATATATTAGGGTACCTTAGCACTCCTCAGAATCCTTAATGCAAAAGTGGAGCTCAGATTTCTTCAACTTTCAGCCCTAGCTGCCAGTTTTTGTGGGTTTACATTTCACTTTTCCCTAAACCTGGATGGGAAGGGAGACATTATAGGTCCCAGAGGACATCAAATAGCAGTTTTATATGACTATTTGCACTAGCAAAAAAAACCCAATTGCACAAAACAGATCAGTCCTGTGTCATGCCCAGAACAGGAGACACTGAGTTTGTACCTGCTGCTATGAAAGGAGTTGTTGTTCTGTAGTTCCTCTTACTCACAGTCAGGATCAGAGTGGAGCTGTGGACTCCAGTCCAGGAGTTGGGGTGGTAAAACAGAGAAAGACATAAATTAAACTGGAATGAAACCCAACCTGCTTTCTTCAAATAATGGCAGAAAACAAACACAAGAGGATATTTAAAAATTGTAAAAGACCTTTAATGATTACAATTACAAAGAACTAGGGACAAAAATCCCAAAATGGCATATGTGCAGGAGTGATTTTTGGACTTGCAGACTTCATCACATGGGCACAGACTGATACATATGCATCCATTTTTTTGCCACTGGGGAAAAAACCCAAAATATATAAAA